AAACACAAGTAGATGTTGTGCTTGCATGTTGTATTATTCATAATCACATAATAGGGGTTGATCCTTATGACTTTCTTATGAAAAAAATAAATTCAAATAGTGAACCAATTAGATGAATAATCAACTTAAGTCAATAGGAGGAAAGGTAAGAGAATAGGGAGTGGATAACAAAATAAGAAATGATGGCATCAACCATATAGAATGATTATAACACTCAAAGAAACTAGTAATTGAGTGTTAATTATATATGTTTGTTTTTATTACATCTTGCTTGAGTTTGTATTATATTATGTATTTAGAGTAGATGTTGACTTTATTATAATTTATCTTTTAATTATTAATTGCAGTTTTTATATGAAATTTATTAAATCTAAATATTGTATGATTTTATTTTGTATAAATTTGTAATTTTTTTTTATATAGAAATGAGTTCTACGCAGAATGAAAAATGCAAGGGCAAACACTTCACATGATCTAAGCCTATGTCTCGCATGTTACTTGAGATATTAACTGAGGAGGCATTTAAAGAAAACAAACCTTCTTCCACCTTTAAAGCAGAATCTTTTGTTAAGGTGGCTACAGAAATTAGTTAAAAATTCAACGTGCAATGCGAGCCTAAGCATGTAGACAATCATCTCAAGACTATGAAAAAAGAATGGGGAATAATAAGCAAACTTAAAAATAAAAGTGGCTTTAGCTGGAATGATTGTTTAAAGATGATTATAGTTTTGAAAGATGTATATGATGAAGAAGTAAAGGTATGATAAATATTATACTCTTTGTAATTTTTATATTTACTTTTGTTTTTAAAACGTTATACAATGAACTAAAAAATTACATATTCTAAACTTTATGAGCAGGCACCTCCTAATCATGACAAGTATCTTAACAGAAAACTTGATATGTACAAGGCAATGACAATTGTTGTTGGAAAAGACATGGAAGAGAACACTGAAGAGCAATCAATTTCAATTGAAAATGAAAGGGAATATAAAGAAACTTCTAAGGGAAAAGAGACATCTTTCTCTAGTATACAAAAGAGGTAACATAGAAAGAGAAATCGCATGTACAAAGATGATCATGTTGAAAAGTTGTCTAAACAGATTGGAAATGTAATATTTGCAATCAAAACCTCAACAAAAATTAACTTGATGTTAATGCGATGTATACGAAAGTGATGAAAATTGAAGGTTTTGATGAGATCACTTTTGGGAATGCATTTGATCACTTGGTCCAAAATAAAATGTTGGCAAAAGCATTTATGGCAAAAAATTATAATTTGAGAAAAATTTGGGTTCAGAATTTTGTGAATCAACATTACTACAGGACTGCTTGCTAAGATGATTTGACTATGATAAGAAACTATATTTTTGTTATTTGACAAGTATGTTTACTTGTTTAATTCGGTCTAGCATGTTTATGTTTGTTAATTTGAACTAATATGTATGTATATGATATCAAAACTTAATATTTATGCATGACTATGTTTGATGTTAGATATTTATATTTATTTCTTGGTGCTTATTTGATATATATTAAAGGGATAATTGTCTATACCCGTAAAAAAAAATCTTTATCCAAAAAACCCATCAAAATATTTTTTTCTTTATTTATCTTTTAAAAAAATCTTCATAAAAAAAAACCTAAATATCTAACTCTTACTATAAACTAATTTGGCTTTCTTCAAATGAAAAAAAATATATATTTTAAGCTTTTAAAATTGAAAAAAAAAAGGTTTTATTTATGAAAACTTTCACAAGGTTATATCTCTATAATATTATATGATATATATAATTATATTTTATAAAATTAATAGATTAAATATTTATATTTAATATTTTTTATATATTAGATAAATTAAAAAAATTAATTCATTAATAGATTATGTGTTTTCTAGTTTATTTCACATTACACTACTAAATATCAAAAAATATTTTTTCAGAATTTATTTTTTTTAAATTTATTTTTCAAAAAAATTTACTTTAAAAAAAACTACTTTTCTGCAAAAAAAAAAAATAGAAACCTAATACACAATAACCAACCAAAAAAGGAAAATCACCGTAAACTAAGCTAAACTTCACAATGAAAACCAATAAATATAGCCAAGAAGGACACTATCATGTGCCCATAAGGGTAGACCGATATTTGATAATCTCTTCAGTTAAAAAAATATTTGATTATTACTGGAGATATAGAACCCTAGGGTACCCAGATAGAGGTCATTCAGTACCCGAATCAACTCAAGATTTTCACCTGAAAACAGAGTCTTACTACTATAAATGGATGTTGCTGTTTGGCAGAACCATAGCTTTCCTTAACTAGCCTTCCCGCTACAGCTCTCCTCCCGAGAATCTTCCAGTGCCTTGTCACTTTCATAAATCTAATTAATACCAAAACCCTAATCTCCAAAGCAATAGAAAAATCACAATCCAAAATTAGAGATCATAAAGGAAGATAATATAGCACAACCAGAAATGAGACAAAAGGGTAATTTGAATAACCTTTCTGCATAAACATCACCTGATTCAATTATGAAGACTTCAAATTACCCTCCATGGCAGCTACAAGCACAAACACAATCGATCAATCAAAGAAACAATATATATGCCTCTACATTTTATAATAAACGATGAACTTGGACAAACTTCTTCTCCATTTTCCATCCCTTAACCTGAAAATAATAAAATACACCAACATTTAGAATGAATTTCTATCCTCTTTAAATAGTAAGAACAAGAATACATGTCCCTGTGTTTCCACTATCTCCATCGCTGCCGCCATCCTCCTACTCCTCGAGTCTTCTTTATCGCTATGATTGCTTTCGTCTCCACTGATATTGATAAGAGACACAGAAAAGGAAATAAATTAAAGATGAAGCTAAATATTTATAGATGCTAATTTATTGTGAAAATAGGGCCTAGTTTCTTCAACTTCATTATCGTCGCTACTGTCTTCTGATGGAGAGTGGCAAATCACATGGCGTTTGCGCTTCCTGTCGCTTCCAGGCGCCATGTCTAAGAAAGATTCCTCGCTGCAATGACGTTTGAATTGTGGGAGTTATAAGCTTTTTTTGAAAAGAATGACAGTTACATAATTAAACAACACGCTGCTCCAATGAACGGCCGGCCGAGCAGGCGAGCACACTGATTTTTTTTCCTTCTCCTATAAGATATCATCTGTGATTTCTCTTTCTTGTTTTTATTTTCATTTTTTAAACATAGATAACAATTGACGACAGTACTGTGATATCATCACCTATAGATTGATTCAAAGCTTTGTGTTTTACATCAGATTTTTCACTCTTTTTTAAAATATTGTTTATTAATTTCCTTTTCTTTTTTTCATTTAAACTATGGCCCTTGTAAAAGAAGATAATAGGAGCATCGTGGATAACTGTACTTTGGATTGTATATGAAGATTTTACGTGCCAGAAAATCATCGTGTATAAGAAAGTTATAAACTTTCTTGAACAAGAAGGTTATATATATATATATATATATATATATATATAAAGGAATGGGAGATGAGAAATTAATTATTCATATGAGTAATTAAATGGGGTCACAATACAATGGAAATATGTAGAAAGAGTTCTGAAACTCATCCTATTTCAGACTCTGTTCATGGAAATTGATCTAAGATAATCCAAAATAACATTAATTCAAGATTTTTTATTTAGAAAGAAGTTAAAATGATGCGTTTTGAAAGAAAAAAATAATGTATTATATGAATAAGTCAAATAATATGTTGCACTATTTTTAATTAAAGCAATCAAGTCACAAAATATTAACTTATTAAATTTAAACTGATTAACTCTACTAAGTTTAATATATCAAACGAGGCTTAAGGTCTCGAGCAAATAAATTATCGTGTTAGTTGAGTTAACCTGCTGAGTTAAGTTTAATAATATTGAATTTTACACCCATGACATAAATTAACAAATCTTACTAACCAAAAAAAACAAGAAGAAAGGAATGACATCTAGACATTTGAGAAGAATGAAGCAACATACATTTGACAAGAATGGAGTCGCAATGGATTCTTAATACAATTTTTATGCATTAGTGCTAGTTGAACTATAATGTGATTAGCAGATTCTTAACACATTTACCATTATATGTCAGGAGAGAGAACCAAAAAAAAAAAAACAAAAAATAAAACAGAAACAGAAACTTTCCATTAAACATTGATGTTGGCAAAGCAATGCTTTGCAGAATTAAGTTTTGACTCGAAAGCATAGACGTAGAAATGATACATTTCAATCATGGACCCAAAGACCAGTCCAATATGTCAGAAAATCAATTTCTCCTAGCCAGTTTAATAAATATTCTCACCTGCAACTAAACACTTAACTATAGCTTTACAGTGGAAACTGTGAATGCCCATGCTACATTTGCCTAAAGTATCACAAGCATCACAATTCTAAAAGTATTATACAATGTTGCGCCACAAAAATTAAATTGGTCTAAACTTCTTTTCTTCTCCCATAAATTTGAGGCAAATATACCTGTGTATCAGACCTGGGGTTGAGATTTCGGTGCCTCTCACCCATTTTCTTTTATTGGCAGCAGCCACATCTTGGAGCATCTAAAATCAGCTTCAAAACTTCTACTGAGGTTTCGCAAGAGTCCTGCTAGATGCACCATGCAACAATTTGACAAATCCAAGGAAACTCAACTTTCCATCTGTGTGCCGAATCCAGTCATGTAGAACAGCATGAACAGGAACAGAAGGGCCCAGGCCAAGTTCCTGAAAAATGAGATTGATTAGTTTCTGCCTTTTGACTTACCATATTCATGATTTAATGCTTCAGCAATACAAGTTTAACACGCACACAAAAGCAGTGGCATAACATGCATTACGATTAGAGCAAAAAGTCAACCACAATCAGTTTGCCAATAATTCATTTAAAGAACTGAAAAGTTGTTTCTAAGATGTATGGACCACTGGAACAGTTAAAACCACATCTACGATGCCGAATTTGTGCAGGTAAAGTAAATAACTGACAAGAAGCTTATGTGCAAAGAATTCTTTAGAGGGTCGGAGATAAGAGAGAAACATACTGATGCCAGCTCCTCAATGACAATGGCCCTGTTCCCATCCTTCTCAAACAGTTCATAGGCACAACGGGCATGTTGCTCCCATCTATCAAGGGCCTCTAGCTGATGGACACTTAATGCAGCTGCAGAACATTCCTCAAAATCCAACCTTCTGTATTGAAGTGCATTAAGCTGTAACCAACAAAAACAAGCACCACTTGGAATTGAAGATTAGAAACTGCAAAACCACAAATGACAATCTAAATAGCTACCACAATTGAAACACCTACAGATGCTAGAAAATCAGGAATCCGTGACTCCTTCATGGCGTCTGTAGAATTTTTCATCAAGGTCTGACCATTAAAAAAAGTATTAGCATAACTAATGACAAATGAGCAGGTAACAAAAATTAAAGCACTCAAAAAGCAACCAACCGTTTTAATATTTTCTAAGCTTATAGAGCCATTTTTGTTTGGTTCTAAGAGCACAAACTGCTCCTTCAGATAAAATAGCTCATCCACAGTCAACGTTTTAGATAGAGCCTGCCAAAATGCCAACAAAAAGTTCAGTAAAACATCGTAAGAGCATAATCATCAAAGGTCGAGGCTACACAAAAAACTCCCAAGTAATTTACTTAACAATAGCCCCAAATTGCTTGATAATAACCACTTGTAAGAATTATTACATGGCTGTTCAATGGCAACCTTGTAATCCATAAACTGCATTTCTGGAGCCCATTAGAATCATTAATAAGCCAGTGCTAAGCTGGGCATATCTTTAGAGTTACAGTTACTTGTAATCCATAAACTACAATCAACATTAAAAGCTAGAGAATAGCAAAATTGAGGTGCACCAAACAACTTCTGGCTAGCATTTCTGGCTCTAGCCAAGTATACACTTCCAAAATAAAATATGATGTAAAAATCTATGCATGAATGATCCAGTAAGAATGATATTGTCTGTATTAACCCATAGTGACACCTTCACAACCAATCAACATAAGCACATGGAAGCAACATAGCAAAAATAATGACAAAAGTTGAAAGGAGCTTTAGATGAAAAGTTGCACTTCACACTCAAGTAGGCAGCATCAAAGCATATTACAAAACAATCTCATTAGTAAATTGCATTACAAACCCTTAAAGCAGCTTTCCGAAGAGATGATGAGCGCATATAAGCCTTCATGAGTTTGAGCATGAGTATATCCAGAGGCACTTTAACCTCATTAGAACTTTTAATCCAAGGATGGCCTGCAACAAATAATAGCAAACATCAATTCAGATTCAAGAAAGCCAGCAGGTAGTGCTTGAACAGTGGTCAAGGCATTTACTTAGTGCCTGGGCAGCAGTCAATCTTTTTCGTGGGTCTTTATTCAATAGGCGCTTGACAAAGTCTTTTGCCTCAGGAGAAAGTGAAGGCCAAGGTGTCTCATCAAAACTTGGATCGGCTTTTAGAACAGCATGAAAGATCCCAGATTCAGTTCTGGCCCAAAATGGACGGCTTCCACACAACAAAATATATGCAATGACACCAACACTCCAGACATCAGCCTCTGTACCATAAGATCTATGTAGAACTTCAGGTGCTACATAGTATGCACTACCAACAATGTCATTCAACCTTTCATCTGTAAAAAGAGATATATTTTAGAAACCACTAGTGAATTCAAGGAGCTATTGAAAACAAAGCAGCCAACTACATCTCAGAATAAAGAGCAAGTACAAACCTGGCTTTACAAAATCTGACAAACCAAAATCTATGGCCTTCAACTGGGAGTTTTCATCCTTTGATTTGAACAAGAAATTCTGATCCAGCAATCAGCTACACTTAGATAAGAATGCATGAATAACAAAATGCAACTACGCGCGCAGTAATCAAATAAGTAGTCAGTTTTCAACCAACAATTGATGACCAATAAATTAGCGAAAAGGACTGCCAAACTTAGGTCGTTGTTGTCTTCTTCTTTTTGTCTCAGTTTTTTCACTTTTAATTCCAGTAAAATCTATAAAATCGAAAATCCTAGCAAAAGAGATTACAAGTTATCACATGTTCTTCCCTCTTCCTGATCATTTTCATCAAGTTGCATTCAGGTCAAACTTAAAACCTTCATGCATGTAATACCAAACAGGAAGAACTTTTTGATGCCTATAAAATTACAGAAAAATATCTTGCAAGGGGCACACACTTATATTCCACTCATAGCTCAAAAAGGGAAAACAACAAGGACTCCTTAGAAGTCGCACAGGTCTTTATTATGCAAGCAGATTCAGGTGCTCCAGTTTCATACTCTGCCTCAAATAGCACAATTGATCCTAACTAAAAGCTAATGAATGAACAATTTGAAGAATTAGAAAGGAATAATCTTTCAAAATGCCCAGGCGTGAGACCCTGCCTAAGGTAACAGAATATGACTCTCAACAGAAGCTGCAGGACAGAATGCAACTGGCTATGCATGTTAGTAACACTGTATCTCACCTCAGGTTTAAGATCGCGGTGCACCACACCCTGAAGATGGCAAAATGCTACAACATTTAATATCTGTATCATGACAGCCTTTGCATCATCTTCTGTATATTTTCCGCCTCTACAAGAAAAGAACACCACTTGATTAGCTGTGAGCAGCTGACCAACTAACTCCATTAAATTCCAGTTCTTTAGTCCATCAATTAGATCAAAATGAACTAAATACTCGTATAGCTACTATTTTATACCTTGCAAGAATTCTATCCAAGAGTTCTCCTCCTTCACATAACCTGAAAAATGCATGATAATCACAACAACGCATTAAAATAGATGCAGAATACCATCAACAAAAATGAAACTCAAAAGATTACAATCTATTTCACAACATAACCATAATAAGGATCTAACATACGAAAAAAGAAAACACAGAACAATCAGCACTTACTCCATTACTATATAGACATTATCATGGTCTTCATAGGCATCATAAAACTGTACTAAATTGTTATGCCCGTTCAATGCTCTCAGTATGTTAACCTCCCTTCTCACATCCTCAATGGCAATTGCTGTAGTCATCTAACAACAAAAACAAAAACCAAAATAAGCAAATTAAACAAATTGGCGAAATGCAAGAGTCAAATATCTAACACCATCAAGCAGCAAATAAAATAAACCAACTAAGACCGATCCAGCTGGTCTTGAAATTAACACAGAGACAGGCTATTCTCCATGTAGTTGAAACTTAACAACAGGTTTATCATGATCAAAGTAATTTCTCCCCAACAATTTAGTTTCCCAAAGCACTACATTTCATCATAATGCTAAATACAAAAACAGAAATCAGAAACCAACAATAAGATTACAGCACGCGCTAAAGATCTACCGCGAATGCACAATTCAAATATATCATTAACTTTTTTTTTAAAAAAAAAAAACACCACATGCATCAAAGAAACAAATTAAGAAAGTAATAGCACACATATCCCCACAGATCTAACACACCGAAAACACTAAACTTGAACCCTAAAATCACTCAATTACATAAAATCACCAACAAATTAACTAAAATAATAAAAATACCTTTGCTTTAGGGATTACTTTAACAGCAACTTGCTGTCCTTTGAGTTCAACTTTTTTGAACTTTGCTTGACAAGTATACCCAAAATGTCCTCGCCCTACTTCATCTCCAAGCTCATACTTATTTCCAAAATGCTTAGAGAATCCAAAGCTCTTAACTACCCCTGCCGCCTCCGCCTCGCCTCCTTCCGGTATCGTCGCCTCGTTCGGCTTCACCGACCCATGCCGCCTCGCAAGCACTGCCCGTATATGCTTCGCCGGAGACGGCGGCGGGAACGGCCTTTTAAAAAGCCTCTTCGGCGTCGAGTTCGCACTGGTCGCATTCCTCGCCGGAGATCTCGCTGGAGAAGACTTCTTAGAAAAGAAGTAGTGAGCAGGACTCGGGCTGTAAAAATTGAAGGGCGATTTTTTAACGGATTCTAAGCCGGTACTGTTGTTCTGATCGTTAACATTTGGGGTTCTGGGATCCGGTCGAGGTGTGTCCTTGGTAGGAATAGAGTTGTCCTTAGCTTGGATAGCGATGGGAGAAGAGAGAGTGGAGTTTGGGGAGGGTTTAGAGGTGCAGATACCCATTGTGTTAAGCCTCTCCCCAGACAGAGAGATTGTTAGGAGAACAAACAGAATTGGAAATGAATTACTTAAAGCATTTGAATTGCAAGTGAGTTTTCTTCCAAAGGATTTTGGAATTTGAAAAAATAAAGAAACGTAAAGGAAACTGAAGTCTGCCTGTCTATGGTGATTAGAGGAGAGAGAGAGAGAGGATAGCGAGGGGTCTGTAACTGTAACTGTAACTGTAATGTAATATGGTTAGATAGAAAGGAAGCAAGGACGGCGTGTTTTGTTGTGCTTTTTGTTAAGCATGGTTTCGATTTTTATTAGTTTTGTGATGTTAATTGTTGACAGATAAATAAGTTTGGACAAACCTCACATTAGCCCTCCAACTATCAAGAGTGCGGTTCCACCACGCTTCTCTAAATTAATCCTTGGATTTTGTTTTTGTTTTTTTTTAATTTTTAAATTAATATATTTTTAGTATTTTTTTATTTTAAAAATAAAAATATGTTATTTTAATATATTTTCAAGACAAAAACATACATCACACCACAATTCCAAACACAATTGATGTGGTTAAACTTATAATCTTGATTTGTATTTGTATTTTATAACTGAAATTTAGCTCATTTAAATTTTATTAAATTCATGCTTAATTTTTGGTTTGACTTATTTAGATTTACTTGATTAATAAATGAGTAAATAAGTTTATTTGAGATTTTCATTTTCTTTTCCCATGAAAAACAATTAAACTAAATAAAATATTAGAAAAAAAAATAACAAAACTGTAATTATGTCTGTTGCAATTAACTCGAGTACTTTGTGAATAGTGGAAGGTCTAATTGAGAAAAGATAAATCTAAGAGCGAAACTGAGAATAACTTGATAGTTAGGGGATTAATTTGAGGTTTTCCCAACAATTTCTATCATAGAGAGGGAGAGGGAGAGAGAGAGAGAGGATAGGGAGGGGTCTGTAACTGTAACTGTAACTGTAATGTAATATGGTTAGATAGAAAGGAAGCAAGGACGGCGTGTTTTGTTGTGCTTTTTGTTAAGCATGGTTTCGATTTTTATTAGTTTTGTGATGTTAATTGTTGACAGATAAATAAGTTTGGACAAACCTCACATTAGCCCTCCAACTATCAAGAGTGCGGTTCCACCACGCTTCTCTAAATTAATCCTTGGATTTTTTTTTAATTTTTTAATTAATATATTTTTAGTATTTTCTTATTTTTTTAATGTTAAAAATAAAAATATATTATTTTAATATATTTTAAAGATAAAACACACATCACACCACAATTCCAAACACAATTTACTTGATTAATAAATGAGTAAATAAGTTTATTTGAGATTTTCATTTTCTTTTCCCATGAAAAACAATTAAACTAAATAAAATATTAGAAAAAAAAATAACAAAACTGTAATTATGTCTGTTGCAATTAACTCGAGTACTTTGTGAATATTGAAAGGTCTAATTGAGAAAAGAGAACTCTAAGAGCGAAACTGGGAATAACTTGATAGTTAGGGGATTCATTTGACGTTTTCCCAACAATTTCTATTAGCTTTCTGCTTTGGAGGTGGTGGTGGTCCCAACGAGCAGAGTAAGTACACGTGGCACAATTTTGGAAGGTTGTTTTTAACCCGTTTATTGCTAACGTCAACCGTATTTATATCAAAATAAATTTGTTAATAAATTATTAATCTATCAGTATTATTATAATCGTGTAAAAATAAGAATACAAATTTAATATTTAAAAAATATATTTATTAGATAGCACAGCCACAAATCCTAAACAAACAAGATTAATTTCATTCTTTAAAAAGAATGTAAAAATACTTGGGTAGGAAAAAAAAAATATATATATATATATATTTAATAAGTTTTTAAAGTAGTAATATTTTAAAAAACAGCATTTCTAAATATATCTTATTTGATTACATGAATTTTGATTGGTGCGTGTTCTTGTTGTTGTGGGTTCTTTTTGCCTGAATTAACGGGAAAGAGGGACAGTTCCCGGATTTTACCTTAATTTGGATAGATTGAATTATTTTATTGATAAATTAATCTCCTTTTGCCTTCAAAAAGGCCGAGGGGGCATACAAAGTCAAAAGCATTGCCGTTTTAATTGCCCGCCCTTATTAGGCAGCCATCAACCTCCTTAATTAATCTTTCTGATTAGTTTAATCTGTGATTTAAAGTTTAAAACATGAAATTAAAGTTCCAAAAAGGGAAAATGAAAATTGGGTTCCGACAAAAAGAAAAGCAGGTCAAATGATTCTCTTTCCTCTTACCAAAAGCTTCTTCATCCTTTCCTTATTTTTTCTAGCGAAAATATAAATTGGAGAATCTACTATAGATTTTATTTGAGATTTCTACTAATTTTAGGAATTTTTCTGTAAAAAATATATCTCTACAAAAAGATAATTATATATATTAATTTTATTTTACTAGATGATTAGGCTATATTTACCAAGACATACATTATTCCCTTTATTATTATAAATAATTTGATAAATGAATGTTATGCGAGACTTGTAATTAACTGGTGATCAAATTAATTTGATAAAAATAAATTAAAATTTATTTTATTTTTTAAAAAAAATACTTTTATCTAATTTAGTTGAGATTACCAAATAAAAAAAAATTCAGGTCAAACTTAAATTTGTGGAATCTTCTTATAGTTAATTTTATTAAATTTAAATGAGTAATTGCTTAATTTTATTAAATTTAAATGAATAATTGCTCAGAATCTTTTATAAAATTTAAATCAATGAAAGTAATTTCTCATTTTGGATTAAAGTTCCCTCAAACTATTTTTCATTTAAAAGTAAGTTTTTTAATATTATTATTTTTCATCTAACAATGCAAGTGCACTTTATCAATAGCTAAAACGTGACAAAATTACTTTTAGAATTTATGAAAACCTAATAAAAGGATCCAATCTTAAATAAAAAATAGTTGGAGGGAGGCCCAATTGAAAAATTAAAGGTTGAAGGACTTATTCTTAAATTGCTTGAGGTTCTGTTGAGGTTTGGACCATTTAGCTAATCTAAACCATTACATTTTAATTGTACAGTCATGATTTAGTATACAATAAAATAGAAACAACTTTTGAATTAATAATATTTTTATTTCTCTAGTTTAAAATAATTTTTTGAATTAATGTGGAGATTTGAAATATAAATGATTATATTACAAGGAGGGATATGAATTATGTATTAAGCTGTGACAATGTACTCTGATTGTGCAGTGACCAATCAAAAATGACTAGAAGGAGCGGCTTTATTCACATGAAATTGAGAGCAATTAATGAAGGAAATTCTCAATATTGTCACGGGTGTTATTATTATTATTTGCTGATATATTTTCAAAATCGATTGACAGTTAAATTGATGGTTTTCACATGACAGTAAGTTGGCCTCTGTTTCTATGGTACAACTTTATTTTTTTTAAATTTAAAATTTTATTTTTATTTAAAATTGATTTCTTAATGTTTTTGACGTGATAAAAAATAAATTTTAAAAAATAAAATAAAATATTTTAGTATACAATAAAATAGAAACAACTTTTGAATTAATAATATTTTTATTTCTCTAGTTTAAAATAATTTTTTGAATTAATGTGGAGATTTTAAATAAAAATGATTATATTACAAGGAGGGATATGAATTATGTATTAAGCTGTGACAATGTACTCTGATTGTGCAGTGACCAATCAAAAATGACTAGAAGGAGCGGCTTTATTCACATGAAATTGAGAGCAATTAATGAAGGAAATTCTCAATATTGTCACGGGTGTTATTATTATTATTTGCTGATATATTTTCAAAATCGATTGACAGTTAAATTGATGGTTTTCACATGACAGTAAGTTGGCCTCTGTTTCTATGGTACAACTTTATTTTTTTTAAATTTAAAATTTTATTTTTATTTAAAATTGATTTCTTAATGTTTTTGACGTGATAAAAAATAAATTTTAAAAAATAAAATAAAATATTTATTTTAATATATTTTAAAATAAAAAAATATTATTTTAAAAAATATTTACCATAATTTTGAACATTAACTATGTCATCATGGTAAATTAACTTGATGTGAAAGGGCTCAGTTCTTTGCAATAACCAAGTATTTACATGCTATCTTTCTATATATATTGGTATGTAGCTAGTTAATCATAATGTTTTTTTAAATATGAAAAATATATTAAATATTTTACATCCAGTGGTAATATCAAACCTAATACTAATACTATTAAATCTGATAATCCAGCTATATTTAAAATTATTAAATAAAATCTAATAAAACAACTAATAAATCAAAAGATATTGAACTTAACTGCTTCACATAACCTAATATTATTAAATTCAATTAAATAAGAAAAAAACTTAAAAAAAATAAAATTAAAAATATTTAGGTTTAACTCAAAGTCAGATGTAATAACATTAAATTTAGTTACAAAATTAGATTTAGAATATATTAAAAGCAATTTGGATCTAATTACTTAGGCATATATGGGTTGAGTCTAACTATTAAGCTATATCCAGTATTTTTTTTTTTTTTTTTTTTTTTTTTTT